AACCCAATATCAGGAAATGAAAAACTCAGAACTAGGTGTTGCAATTAATAAGGAAGGGGAAGGATCAAATGACATGGGTGACAGAGATAAAACACATACCTGTGATATCAAATCTATAAATGGTGATTGAAGTCAAGGTGCTTCAACAGGCTGAGAACGTGCCTGCACAGCAAAGGAATAGGGAGAGGCTGTCCAAGTCTGCATCATCCTGATCGAAGTCCTCAGGTAATGGCAGAATTGCTTGTAGATCAGGAGATCCTTTGGCTCACATGAAATAAGCCATCTCCCGATGAACTGTGGCCAACACTTCCTTCACCAATAACAATGCACCTGCAGCCATCGTCACGAGCAGTGAAACACCAGTACTGTCAGTAGCCATTGTAGTCATAATAGTAAATTGTGAATTCAAAAATATTGACTGACTACCAGTAATTGGTTGAGAAATAGAGTCCACAATCAAATAAAGAAATCCAACTTTGATATTGCAAAAATCAGTAACTGAATGTTTTCAAAATGCACTAAAAATTTTTTTTGAAATCAGACACTAAGTCTTAACACTGTCCTGCCAAATCGAGAAGTGAAGATTGGGTACAACTACACAGATAGAGAGAGTCAGCTGTGACAGGAGGGTGTGTTGCATAATAATTTGTATACTTAAATGCTGCTGAACCACGTGGAATTAGGTAGGAGTTCAAGGCTAGTGGTAATTAATCATATCAGAATGTAACTTTTTTGTTATTTAACAAAAAACTCAGGTTAAATTTATGGGGAAAATTACAACTTCTTTGATAAAAGTAAAAAAAGTTCCCAACTCATAATAAAGTCATACTTTAAGATACATAAGAAAAAAAACAACTAAATAAGATACAGAAAAAAAAACATAACTAAAATACTAAAAACAATTTGGTCATAACTTTTTCATACTGTCAATATCTACTATAATGATTCTTTAACTTATTACAAAATTAGTTTTGAATTAGTGCAACCTCACGGGCTGAAACGTTATGCATATAGGGCACAATAAAGGCCACAGCATTTTTTACACTCTTTCATCTCTCATGTAAATTGTTCTCAAAAATCTCTCATTATTTTAAGGTATTGGTTATCACAAATTAAGAAAGTAAACTTACTACTGCAGATTGTTAAAATCCTTAACTTCTATTCATCTGAGTGACTATTTCATATCAACTGACTTTTATGTATATATAATCAGGGATTAAATTGAGGCAGAATAGTCCCAAGCAGTAATCTTCCTCTTCATAATTTAAGCCATTAGCATTCCTGGTCTTCTGACTGGAATTTCAGGGTGAATTACAAAAGGGAGTTCCATCTTTTTCAAAATCCCAATTTAACCACTGGATGCTATTGGAAGAACTTGTTCTAATTCTTGCCTCATACTTGTGTAGCAGAAACATTACCTGCAGTTCTCCAAATTTCCATTGGTAATCTATTAGTGCTGCCTCCTACTATTTTCATGATTATTTTATTAAGGCCAAATAGTGTTTATAACTTTCCTCACTCAAATGTCCAAGCTACTTTATTTCAAACCAGTTTCTGTAAAATATTTCTTTTTCTGAATAATGAGCAGAATTTTCTTATGTATTTTCTACACATAGAAATAAGATCCAACTTTTGTTAAATGATTTTCAAAATCTTTTAACATTGTCTTATTCTCTCAAATAATTACTTTTTGAATGTCATTTCAATGAAACAAAAATGTCTGTTAGGTAACAGAATCAACAAAAGCTATTATTATATAACTCTTATTATAAGTGTACCACATAAGAAAACATCATGTGCTGTATCACTCTTATTCAACTTTTTATGAAGATTATTTTATTACATGTTATAGTAAGGATGATTTGTTTTTAGAACACTTGTGTATGTGAGAATGATCGCACCAGTTATCAAAATGTCTTACCTGTTTTGTTTTTAGAAAACTTGTGTACTTGAGAATGATTGCACCAGTTATCAAAATGTCTTCGTTGTTTTGTTTTTAAAAAACTTGTGAACTTGAGAATAATCGCACCAGTTATCAAAATGTCTCACCTGTTTTGTTTTTAGAAAACTTGTGTACTTGAGAATGATCGCACCAGTTATCAAAATGTCTTACCTGTTTTGTTTTTAGAAAACTTGTGTACTTGAGAATGATCGCACCAGTTATCAAAATGTCTTCGTTGTTTTGTTTTTAGAAAACTTGTGTACTTGAGAATGATTGCACCAGTTATCAAAATGTCTTACCTGTTCTAAAAACAAATCTTACTTACTGCAAAAGTTGTAACTTGTACTACAATAATAATTAATCAGTAAGTTAAAACAAAACTATTTTTATGAAGATGTAAACGTTTTTCATATTATTAAATTCTTAAGCCTACAAAGCAGTTTTTAACTCTGCTATACATATCTATCATATTAAAATAACTTAAACAAAGTGAGCCTTTAAAGGTAATATGTTTTGAAAGGAAGAAACTGATTAGCTAAACTTTCTATAAAATATTGTTTTTATTTAGAGTTTGAAAAACCATTTTCTTAGCTTGCTTTTGCAGCATCTTTTTATGCTGAGTATTTCTAGCAGTCAAAGGTTTCTAAACTTTGTAAGTGTTCAGCTTATGTTAAACTATGTAATAAAATGTTGAAATTTAAAAACTAATACGCAACAAGTACTTTTTTAGAATGGTTCTCTTTCACATGTATTTTGCAGTTTGCAAATCATTCAGAGAAACTTTTTCAGGAAAAAGAAAAAAAGTTTTGCACTGAGTTAGGAAGAACAGTAATCTATTACTGTATTTAGCTGTTTTTATTACCATCACTGGAAAAAAAAACTAGAACATTTACATCATTAGTTCACTGAGCTTCACAAAGATCGCAGTTTTTTTATAGGCATTTTTGCCTTTTTTACCAATACTTCACCCCCAGTTGATGGATCTTCACTGAATTTGGCATAAATGTTAATTGGGTTCATGCGGACATATTTGCAAAGTTGCAGTTTCACATTTTGTGTTTTGCAGTTTTATGGCATTTTTTACAATTACATTTTTCATATCCTGAAATAATCTTTCATTAATCATAAATTTACATAACTGCCATCTAGTGATAAATAACATACAAAATCTGAAAAGAGCAAGTGTACAAAACGTTCAGGACTTGTAAGTATTCATTAAGGACAATTTACCTAAAGTACTAGGAGTGAGAAAAACATGGTGGCCATTTCATAATCATTTGATCTGCCATCAGAACATGCCTTACTATACATTTTTGGATCACTATGCAAGTAATATGTTTTTAAATGACAGATAATTCATCTCGGACAGCTATGTTATTTGTTGTAAAATAGGAGATCAACTTTCCTTCTCCCATATATACATGTTTGCTTTTCAAGACTTTTAGTTAGAAGAAAATGTTTAATTCCGTCTCAATCAATCCTGCAACATGATTTACCTTCAACATCAGAGTTTCAGTTCACAGTGATTTTTTGCTGTTATATAAGGGTAGGCAAACAAGATTTAGTTATTATGCCAAAGTTAGATGAGTTTTAAAATTCCAGAACATCTATAACACATATATAGCCAATTATTTTCACACAAAATATTTTACCTATCTGACAGTTTATTAATATGATCATATAATTCCAAATACCTTTGCAGTTTAGACCAATAAACATGTAAATAAATATGAACTCTTGATATTTAAAATTAATTTTTAACTTTTTTCCATAGAAATGTAATGAAATTAGAGCACTGGCATGCAAATGTATACCACATGAAAGAATATGACGTCATGAAATTAGAGCACTGGCATGCCAAATGTATACCACATGAAAGAATATGACGTCATGAAATTAGAGCACTGGCATGCCAAATGTATACCACATGAAAGAATATGACGTCATGAAATTAGAGCACTGGCATGCCAAATGTATACCACATGAAAGAATATGATGTAATGAAATTAGAGCACTGGCATGCCAAATGTATACCACATGAAAGAATATGATGTAATGAAATTAGAGCACTGGCATGCCAAATGTATACCACATGAAAGAATATGAGAAAAAAAAAACATTAGCAAACACCTACCTTCCCAGATGTTCAAAGTCACAGTCTGTCCATGTTTGAGAGCCTTTCTCTCTTAAAATTTTAATACTGTTCCCTTGTTCTACGCTTTTCTTGACAGACTTTTTCATGTTACTTACAGTGTGGGAACTGTGTGGGAAAGTTCCTATGACAACGTAAGTGAGAGGACAAAGTGCCACATTTAACAGGCTAAACTACTGAATATATCTAATTGATCTGTAAAATAATTTCAGAATTATAGTTGGTTATATTGGCTGAAATTTTAAGCAGCTAAAATCATTAATCTCTGATGAATTATACAAGTACAGATTGTTTTTTATAGATTTTCAAAATTTTGACCTCCCCTTGGAAGGGTATAACCTGAAATTTTACACAAATGCTCCTCTTACAGAGACTTAATAGCCTATCAAAGTTAAACAAGATCAGAGTTTGAAACAGCTATTTGTGGGATAATCAAATGATTTCTGTACAACCTTCCTTTTTTAACAGTGAGACACGATCATGTACAACATTTAAAATACACTTGTACCTTAAATGTTGTATATGATCATGTCTCACTATTAGAATGAAGTTCTGTACAAAAATCAATCTATTATCCCACAAATATTGTTCATAAGTTTAGTGGGTAAAGTAAGATTGGAGAAGATCAAGCTGGAAGAATTGGTTGGGTTGACATGGAATTACTTAATTCTATTGGTAATATGTATCTAATTGTGTGAGAAATTCATTTTCCTGGTTTTCATATTTTCTTGGGATTTTGTACACCTTGTTTCATGTATACTTAAAGGCCGCACAGGGATGCTCTAAATGCTGATGTATGGATAACTGAGTTTGTTAATTGGACTTTTGTCACCTAATGTTAATTCCTAATTTATCTTTTATTCAGACATTAACAGTTAACTTATTATCATACAACTTTAATCTCACCTCTATTGATTAAATATCTAACAAAATTACACGAGGGTCTTCCACAGCAGCTTTCACCTTTCTCAGAAATGTCACAGCTTCTCGTCCATCAATTAAACGGTGGTCATAAGTTAAGGCAACATTCATCATAGGTCGAATCTCCACCTGAGATAATGCACAAACGTTAATCCCAAAGAAAGCTTTGAAAAACTAAAAGTCAGCAATAATTGCCTGAAAACTAAATAAGGAACTAGCCATGATGATATCAAACATGTTTATAATACCAATAATTTTGCTTCACTACATTTATTTCACATAACTGATAAATATAATGTATTTATAAAGAAACATTTCTTCACGTACATTGATTACATTCATGTCATTTACTTCAGTAGGATCCTTGAAATATTAATCAACCAAGAATCCCAGCTTAAAAACAAATTTTAGGATTTTTTAAATGCATGTACAAAATTCACATAAGTTTCATAGTATACACCTACTCCCACAGAGGGATGACATGGTTTTCACTTATCCCCATTCAATCATTCCCATACTGAAATCACATGATATTCATGTTTCTTGATATCGAGTATATGACATAATATTTGATGTTTTGAAAGAGTTTGTTGAAATCATGATTTACATACAGACATATTTAATAACTTGTAATGGACTTAGCATCCTTTCAGATTTTTCGAAAGATGATTAAACATTTGGCTGGCTTTAAAATAAGAAAACAACCAAAACATGTATAAGTGACTTGACTCAAAGTAATTAACATCTATCCTTTCAAATAGTGTTTTGAACTCTCCTTACTGGCATCAACATCAAACAAGTACTTTATTCATATTTTATGACATGTATTGTAAGTCCATCAAAAACACTACAAGGTTCATGTGTGATGTTTTTTGGAGTTTTTTCTAGCTTTTTGCTACTTAATACAAAAATAATCTGAAACAGCTGAGTAACACAGAAGAAATGTGTCACATAGTGGCTGTGATTTCAGCTATTTATAAATGGTTGAAAACATTTATCATGAAAAGTTGAGAACAGTGAAAACATAATTTTCAACAGATGCTTTTTTCAAAACAATCACAATGGTTACAGCCTTAAAATTCATTAAAATACATGTCAGGAAAATGTTCTGACTTGTACCTTCCCCTTGATGGCTACAGGTCGATCCACAATAGCATGCATTCCTAAGATAGCCGATTGTGGAGGGTTTATAATGGGAGTTCCTGATATGGATCCAAATACCCCTCCATTGCTAATAGTGAAGGTTCCACCATCCATATCTTCAATGGCTAAAGTTCCTGTCCTAGCCTGAAAATAAAAACATCTTTAGATATCAAAGTGCTAGTAAGATGACTGATCAGGTTTTACAAGCTTGATTTAGTTCCTTAATAATTTCAAAATCAATTGTATTTTATGAACTACTATAGTGAAACTTCATTCTTAAAAATAAAAATGACAGTCAGATTTATTATGTGTTAAAGTTAAAAAAAGCACAAATCCAGCTCATAAAACCAAATTTATTCATTGTAGTGATTAGCAGCCAACATGATCACCTAAATCCAAATACTAATAAGTTAAAAATGCAAAACTGAAAATTTGTATGCACCTCCCCATAGACCTAGTGAACCTCCATACCAAATTTGGTAAAGGTCCATCTACAGGGAGCAGAGTAGTAGTGAAAAATGCCCATAAAAACTGCAAAATATATATGTATCTCCCCATGGACCTAATGAACTTTCATACCAAATTTAGTAAAAATCCATATACAGGGGGCAAAGTAGTGGCAAAAAATACCCATAAAAACCACATAAAGCAAAACTGAACTAAATTAAGATCCATACCAAATTTGGGGAAGATCCATCCACACCATGCAAAGTAGTTACATGAACATACAGCTGACAGTACTATTATATTTATGTAGATTCCAGGATATGCACTAACAAAGAAATTCCAGTCAATTTGATATTTTATGTTAGCTTGTATTTTTCACAGATTGTGAAAACTCAATGACTATCTTCAGTCTTTCAGGAATTTCTTAATTTTCTCTCAGAAACCCATTCAGTTTATAAAGTTAAACAGCAAAATTTTGTGAAAACAATTTTAAGGAAACTGTATGTTTATAAAACCTTGCATTGACATTAAACAATAACAAGTCGAATTTCAGATCAGATTATTAACATGAATCCCCCACATTAAATAAAATATAAATATAACAGACATTTAAATCCACAAGTAAATCAACATCACGTAGAAAAATACAAGCTTGTAAACTGTGAAAATAACAAACGTAAGATAATAATGTGTGTTTATCTAAAGTTTTATGACTGCATAGAAATAACAAGTTCACAAATTATGAAATAGATAGGAAGAAACTTGGAGAACTTATATGGAGTCATTTATTTTTACACTTTTAATATATAATCTCTATTAGAACACGTCAGATTTTGAAACATAAGAACTTTAGTGGAACTGACTTAATATATAATCTTTATTAGAACACGTCAGATTTTGATACATAAGAACTTTAGTGGAACTGACTTAATATATA